TCCAACATCCCATATTTTATTACAGTATTCCCCACTTCTTCGGACTTTTCCCTCGGCTCACACCTTTGGTTTCCACTTACTTGGGCTTCTGTTCTCCACCTCCGCCTTGGACCTGGGTGGCATGATTCAAAAATGGACCAAGCCGCACTACGTAGATTATTACCTACTTACTATTTTCTCCGCGCCTCTTTACCCCTTGTATCCCACCTACCCCCATCTGCCCAACTCCACCCACCCACCATCAGTGACACTTTCTCCTATGACACCCTGGATGCCCACTTGGAATTGGCGTTCTTGATCTAGTAGTGTAGTTTTTTTTCTGCGCGCACGAGGACACTAGCTGTACATGACACATGTTGTCGACCAGTCAATCGGAGAGAACCTAAGTCTTGGCTGCGATGATCATCTTTTACTGAGCAGTGGCGTTCCCGGGCCCACTGTGGTCGATTTCGAACGGGACGGGTATCCGTGAGTCTGGGTTCCTCTCCCTCTGTCTAGTGGAAGTACACTGGGCCTGGGGATGTCTAGGATTGTCCGAATTCTTGTACTCAGGACGCCAGTTTGAGGGAGGGACGAGTCATGGACCGAATTGGACCCATAGTACCATTGACGGGAGTTGCAGTAGAGTGTATTTGCTGGGTGTTATACGGAATTTGGCCCGTCTATTTAGTGCTCCAATGTGTCCATTTGCCCGATTTGCACAGGCGCTTCACACTTTTTCTCTCTGACCATCTCGTTTGCCAGCTTCCGCAGGGACCCTCTCTAAGCTGCCAGACGCCAAGAAATCAAAGACCGGCTACTCAATCTGCGATGTTCGCTCGCCCATGCAGAATATGGGAGCATTTTGTTGCATCAATCGTGCTCTCTGCTTTTCTCGAGATATGAGGTACCCACACGGCCATTGATGCTTGTAAAATTTTGACGACCTCGTCTGTCTATACATAGCTCCGACTCGTCCGTACAGAATCCGTATAACCCCCGTACAACCCCCAGCAAATACACTCTAGTGACGATGGTTATCATCATTTGCTGATGATATAGGATCATTGGGAGCCCAGAAATGGTGTTCATACAGCTTTTACTATACATACATACGTTACAGAATTGAATGATGAATCTGTTGTTGCTGAGGGTCGAGAGAATCCAAGAGAATAACGGTCTGATCCCTCGGGCTAATGTTGGCTATCGCGGTCGGTGAGGGGCACGTACTATGAAGGGGGTATTTGAGAGGGCGTTCGGATGAGTTGGGTAGGCAAAAAACGTACGCGAACACCCATAATCTCTTTCTGGGTGACCTTCCCCTGGGCGTCTTTATCCACATGTAGGATATTCTGCATGTAGGTACCTACGGGAATGAACATCCTTCCCGGAGAGGCGAGTTGCTCAATCAAAGCTTCTGGAACCGTTGGTGCGGCTGCGCCAACATGGATTGCATCGTAGGGACCTGTTGGACGGTGAGCTCGGATCTTTTAAGTCTTAGTATGGAGCTGTAGACTAACCTTCACTGGGATAGCCTTTATGATTGTAAGTACCATTTCAGCACAAGGCAACCTGAACGCAAGTCGACCATTGCATACCTTTCCTTCCATCCCCAGCGATAAGTTGGATCTTCCCAGAATCCAACTCGTCCTTTAGCCCATCTTTGAGCATGTTCTCTCGCGACCATTCTACCAGTTCCTCTACATGCTCGATTCCGATGACCTTTCCGCTCGGAGACACGAGATGATGGAGAACCGCGACCAAGTACCCCGATCCACTGCCCACGTCAAGGACTTTTGCTCCCGGACGAAGATAGGATAGGAGGTGCTCAGAGGCATAGGCATGCTATTTTTTAGTCGAAGTCGGGAAATCAGCGCATTCTGGTGCACTCGAACTCTGTTCAATTTTTGCTGACCATATGAGGAGCACTTATAGTTGCACCGTATCCGATTGTCCTGGATTACAGCAACTTGTGATAAGATTCAGGATTGACAATGAGTAGCAAAGAGCTCAACTGAGGTGAATCTTGGTACGCCTCTTGCCTGTGCACAACGTAGTTGGCTCGATCCACTTTGGCCATTGCCTGTGTGCCAATCACATCAAGATTGGATAGATTCGAGGCTGCGTGAAGGCTGTCAACGCACTGTCGAGACTCGATCCGAGTTAAATATTCCATTTGTTGCAAGATTTGAGATGAGCTCTGCGTTCGTTTTCCCTGTACACCGCCAGGCCATTTTCAAGGTCGTGGTTGCAGAGGATGATGTCGTCCCCAATGTCGTCACCGTCAGAGATAAGATGTGAATATTTGTGGAAGATAAGATTGCCTCCGCAAAGATAATCACAAAAGCTGTGCAAAGTATTGGCAACGCGTCTCACACGTTCGCGCCAAGCGACGCGCGGACGATCAAGGGGATGAATTAGGCTTGGCGGCTTGGGTGAGGGTCTCGGTTTCAACTTGAGTCCCTTCTTGCTGTTTACTTACATCCTCGATGAGGCAGGCTCTCCCTCTGGGTCCTCTTCTGTATACTGTCTTTACGGTTGGTATTTTTTTCATCGCATTTTTAGCTGTTACTCACTGTCTTCTAGTCAATCCTCGAAGTTTTCCTACTATGTCTTGCTGGATATATTCTGGCGGCCAAGGGAACTCTCGATAAGAAGACTCAGAGGGTGCGTGTGTTGGCCTCTTACTTCTGTCATCTATGAAGCTCACAAATCCCTCAGCAACTCAATAAGCTTAATGTCTCCTTGTTCACGCCAGCACTGCTCTTCTCGAAAGTAGCTTTCTTCTTGTCGCCCGGTACGCGCGTGCAACTCGTGCACAGTGATGAACGAAGTGACCAATATTCCTCTCAGAGAAACTACGCGAGCTATGGGTCGTCCCAGTGTTCTTCGTGGTAGTCACTGTTGTCTCTATGGCCACCTCGTATATTCTTGGAACGATATTCCGACTGAAAAAGTCGCAAAGGTGCGTTGCCACAACTTCTCTGCGTTTGTGTCGTCTCACCTCGTTGTCGTAGAGCTTTCGCCATGGCTGCATCCATGTTCATGAACTCCAATTCTCTCCCCATCGCCCTGATGCAAAGTCTGGTCGTCACCATGCACAAAGAATTGAAGTGGACTGATGACGACAACAAGAACACAATGCTTGGAAGGGCACTGACGTATCTAGTGCTTTACAGCACGCTCGGAATGATTGTTTGTTTAACCATTTCAGTCTCACAGCTTTTAGTTTTTGATGCCATTATTTCCTCACAGTTGCGATGGAGTTATGGTGTTCGTCTACTATCACAAGCTGACGACGAAGTTCAGGAAGGTACCATCAGGCTTCCCGAGAATGACGACGAAGAACAACGTCCCTTGTTTCCCTCATCACCCGAGCGCTACACTGACGAACCTTACGACGACCACGCGCAAACTAATGGCTCGGATTCAACTGCGACTCTCGCCGCAGGTCATACCCCGATTCCTGAAATCATAGTCATCGATACGAATATCCATCCTGGAATGAAGAGGAAGGACTCGAAGTTCTACAATTCATTCCCCAATTCTCCGAACCAATCCCGTGTCAACTTGCCAGATATTGATACCGCAGACAACTCACGCGCCAACTCGGACGATGAGGAGGACGAGGAAAATGACGTTCAAGTAACCAGCGCGCCCCTCCCCATGCACCGCAGGCCCAGCCACGCAGGCAGCGTCTCCTCTACGCGGTCACCAGGGATACGCAAATTCTTCCGACACGCAAAACGGCGCGTCGCTCGCGTTTGGCTCACCTTCAACGAGTTCATGACCGTCCCATTGTGGGCAGCACTACTTTCCATCATCGTCGCACTCGTCCAGCCGTTCCAGCACGCTCTCGATGTGCACATGCAGCCCGTGAAAGGAGCCCTGACGAGCGCGGGGAACTGTTCGATCCCGATCACTTTGGTTGTCCTAGGAGCGTACTTTTATCCTGAGAAGAAGGACGAGGCGAGCGTTGAACCTACGGGTTCGAATCCTCCGGGTCAGACAGACCTCGAGTCTAGCTCGTCTTCGACTTTGATTCAGCAGATGAGGGATGTTTTACACGGCGGTAAACCTGCCCAGGCGCGTCCTACTGGGACTGGAGAGACGAAGACTGTATTCATCGCTGTGTTCTCGAGGATGATACTTACCCCGGTGTTGTTGATGCCTTTGATGGCGTGGGCTGCCAAGTTTGACATGCAAAAGGTGTTCGATGAGTGAGTCGGTCTTGTTTGCCTTAAATCGTGATCGTCGCTGACCGGCGTTGGGTTACAGCCCTGTCTTCGTAGTCTCGAACGTCTTGTTAGTCGCTTCACCACCTGCGTTGACTCTTGCGCAGGTAAGTTGTCCCCTTCCTGCATTCCTTCGCTCATGGTCAGCAATATGTTCCCCGATAGATCACACAAGCTGCTTCTGGCGACGCCTTTGAACGACTAATCAGTCGTACGATATTCTGGTCTTATTGTATTGTAACACCTCCCACGACGATCTTGTACGTCGTCATAGGATTGATCTTTTCTCGGTTGTGATTCGCGCTTTCTTTTCGGTCCGTATTTGCTAGTGTATAGATTGCTTATTGCGCTTGCTCTTGTTCTGTGAATTGTTTCTGTGGCGTTTCATGGATGATGCTTAGCTTTTTCGTACCATAGGGTTTTTACTATCTAGTAGTTAGTTATTGTGAAACACACGTACCACCGATATTAGACTACAAAAATTCGGGCTCGATTCAATTCAATTCAACGCCATAGTGAGGCCAACATGAGGATAGGTTCTGATCATGGACGCTTGCAGCGAAACGACTTCCCAAGAGTGGCCGTCTGATCCTCAATATACGAAATCAAGCCGGTACCTAGATATAGCCTTCAACGGCCTCACACAGAGCTACACGAGACTTAGGGAATGGAATGTATCATAGTACGATGCGAGAGGAAACCTTTTGAGTTTCTTCCCAGTCTTCAGGGGCTTCTGGCTCCGTACGCTTCAATCAAGGCAAAAAAGAATCAACTGTCGGTAGTATGAACCCAAGATGGGGATCGAACCCACAACCTTTGCCTTCGGTAAATACGCCATAGGGCTTTATAGGAAAGCAACGCACTACCATTGTGCTACTTGGGCGCGGTCAAACTGGTGAAAAGAGGGCTTGTGTCGGACTTTAGCCTAGTGCCAGTGGCTCCTCGCAACTCTGAATCCTGACGCGACCAGGTGGCGGACGAAAAGACTTGTTCAAGATGATGACTTTCTGGTCTCAAGAGCAAGTTGACGCGCCTACATCTGACATGAGTTTCCGGCAGTTGCTATGCTCCGATATTGACTGACATTGATTGCTTCAATGTTTCGGATAAAGAGGTTTTGTATGGTGGATTTGTGCAGCGAAGAGAACGGCAAAAACTTCCCTTCCTCCGGAAGAGATGTAGAGCTTGCCGTCGAACATTTGGAGTAATTTTCCGATAGTGCAGGCAGTACGAGGGCCAGTTGTCAATTAACAATAGGAAAGCCATAGCGCTCGAACGGGGAAGTCGTTCAACATTGGTTTCAAGGTGATTCGGGCACCGTTTTATTAGCCGCCGGTAAAGCAATTGATTCAAATGCGGAGGGTTGCTCGCAATAACTTGAATACGCGGATACTGGATTGCTCCTTCGGAACTCATCCGATCGTACTTGGCTTGGTGAGTTAGCCAGTGATGATAGAAATCAATTTACTAGGATGCGCTCTGTGATGCATTGATGTATGCAATGCCATCGCGAACGTTGGGGGCACTGCGATCAACGGACTACAGAAAAGCAAAGATAAGTCACAACCTCGTTGATGAAGAATAAGGAGTAAAGCATCGCCTGTAGAGTCCGTCAGAGAATCCACGACAAGGAAATTCAGGGGAAGCAGCGTATACGTACCATATTCACGTTATCCAGCAGTTGGTCAGAACTATGATACTTTGTATCGTGGACCACATTGGGTGTCTCCTGCTCTAGTGTATGTAGCCTGGCCATCTTTACAGCAATGACGGCAATCAAGGAGAACCAGTAACAAACAAGGATCTGTTCAACAAAGTCAGCATTCGAAAGCTGTAGTGGTCTCGGAAGTACTATCGACAACCCAAACTCACCTTTATCGTTTGGAGCGACCTACCCCTCCCTTCTCTCCACAAAATGAAAAGAACGACCAGTAGACCGATGCTGTTTGCTGGCAACAGGCCTACGCCCAAGCCCTCTGCAGCCAAACGAATCACTTCGAAGAGCGTTATTATGGTGGTCGTCAGAACGAGCAACAGATATATGAGATGTATCGCTATAGGATAACGAAGGCTTTGCTGTCCGTTTGCGCTATCCTTTCCGTTACGAACGTTGATGAATCCTAAGGAGAGTGATGCGAGTACAGCAAGTAGACCAAAGGATGGTGCGGGGACGATCAACGTGTCGAGAGTACAAGTCGAAGGGGATCCCTATAAATCGTCAAATTTGGTCCAAGTCAGCATCACACGAGCCACGGTACGCACTGAGATTGAATATCTGTTGGAACAGAGAGGCATGGTGGTTCAGTACAAAGAGAGACTCTAGGGCGGCTAATGCTCATCGCACTGGCTGCGGGATTGCGTAAGTATTCAGGGGATATGTATGCGAGATTGATGCTGAGCTTTGTGGGGAGATCTTAGCATAGGTGGCGAGACACAGGAAAGAAACGATACCAAGAATGGGCAGACATGGGGTAAAGAGGCCAAATTTAGGATTTCCATCACGGTTGTTCCAAATATCTCCGAGCTCATCTTTCGCTTTGACCCTGCCTCTCCCAAAATTTGCGGGTTCTTGCACCCAGTGTTGCAACAACTTTGAGGACGTGGAGAAAGTTCAATTCAAGTCCGAAACGAGGAGAAAATCACAAGTCCGACTGTCCGAGTCGGGAGTTTGATTGCCGCTGAATTGCCGCGCAGCACGTCTTGTTATTATCCTGCATCGAAGGCATGTACATGTACACGATACAAAGGATAAATTGCACAGCGAGCCCAGCCATTATGAGAGAGGAATAAAGGGTAACAGTACCATGTAGTATAGAGGAGATGCATGCAGTGTAAGTTGATCGTACAGATGTGAATGTGGTGTAGAAAGTCGGGACGCGGAAAAGATAACTTTCTCGGCCACTGGTATCAGAAAATGAATATGCAAATGGAGCGCCGGTGTGGTGATCCACAGGTTGTCCTCCGAGTGGGTCGTCAATCAGCTAAGCGGTTGCATCTGAGCTACTGCCTGCCTCCACGTTTTCTCCGGGGTCCAGCCAGCTCTCCTCGACAGTCGCCTTCACACGCCTAACGTACTCCTTCATATTTTCTCGATACAGCTGAGCTGCCTCGGCATTGGCGGGGCTGTTGGGGTTCGGGTCGTGGAGTAGGCTTTGGATGGAGGTTAGGATGGCGGCGACGTCGTACGTCGGTGACCATCGATTTTGGAGGATGTCGAGGCAGAGCTCGCCGTTGGCATAGACATTAGGGTGAAACATTCGCGAGAGGAACTTGACTGAGGGCGGCTTGTTCGGATACGATTCGTCGAAGGTCAGTACAAGTTTGAATGTTCCATCTTCGAAGGGAGTGTCGGCTTTTCAGGACCATTGCGAGTCAGATTTCGGGTTGCAAGAATCATGCTTATCGCTACTCACCTGGACCGAAGATTACTGCGTTCCACAGCATGATATTATCTGGACAAGGGCTACCAGAAATTCCGCCTGGTGGGTCGGACGACAACCTCTTGAAGTCACGAATGAGTCGGCGCTTGCATGGATTGGACTGGATACAGATATTGTATTAGCTGAATGTCGCATCGATGTGAAAAGACTACTGACCATCTTGGAAGAGTGAAGGAAAGGTGATGGGCAGGCGCAAAGCCACTGTGCTGACAAGGCGTCTGACTCGCGGGAGAGTTGTTGCTCTCTGTTTGGCTGCGGCGGGGCACCGCCACTATAGGCTTTAGCGCTTTGACAGCTTGAACCAAACTGGTAGTGGCACAACTCCTACTACGTGCGGCACATAAACGCGCCTGAGCAGGTGTGCGCTACCAGGATATTCCGCTATGAGGTCTCAATTTGCGTGAGCCCACTCATGCTTCCGATCTCGCTTTTCGACATACGACGTATTTTCCTGGGAATACAACAGGACATGCAATCCTTTTCGGTCCACCCGAGTACTCTCCAACTTCTGCCTTCATGAACTCCGAATGTTTTCTTGAAACTCCAGTACTGTGCTCCTAGTGAGTGATCAAGATGTACGCGTCTCAATCTTCTAGGCTTCACCCTGCGAAGCTGTAACAACCCTCCTCGCCAGTATCGTCGTAAAATTTACCACCTCGATACTCGGAATAATAGCTGAGAACAGAGTGAATGTTTTGGTAATGAACAAATGCATTCCAGGAGACCTTTACGTTTCTCGTGCTTTTCGGCCCGTTTCTTAGGTCTAAAGGTCGAGGGCAAGAGAAGGATTGGCCAATTGGATGAACCTCCTCCTCGCAGTCTCGGCCTAGTTGAATATCTTCAGTAGCTTTGCATTGTCAACTCAGATCAAGAGGGTAACTACAGGAAATATGGCACGAGCGAGTCGTCCTCCGTACTTCAAGTCTGCATCCACTGCAGGTTTCGTTCTCTCGTCCTCTCAACTTCGTGACGCGAAAAGCTGGCTGGAAATGGTCATTCGTCCTGTCGTTGCTATCGTGTTCTTGGAAGTTGGAGCACATATATGCCATACTGACCATGAGCAAAGGTGTTCCTTTGCCTTGACAGTTTTGAGCGTGGCATGGGAAAAAAACAATTGTCAGGCACATTTCAAGCCTTCAATTCATCACTAAGGTCGTCAGCACCATCTCGTCAGCGGGCCTGACATCATGAATTCCTGCAGCCTGCCACGAACTCGCCAGTGGTTGTGTAACCACCATGTTGAACCTCACGATTTCAGACTGGTCCATCCTCTACGACAAGTACCAAGTCCAGATCTTCCACTCGTCAGGCCGCCATGTTACAGTCGAATTGGTCAAGGCCGGCGTCGCTCTCATTGGCATCTTTATACTGGGTCGTATTGTCAATTTTGTTCAGGGACTTCGTGTAACTACAATGTCGATCCTTCAAATGAATTTTGAGCTAAATCTTTTCTCTTTCAATGTAGACTATCAACCATCTACCCGGTCAACGGCCGCCTTTGTTTCCCATGGGGCTACCTGGAGCACTATTCCCCACGTCGTGGTGGAACGCGGGGGCGGATACACATTGGATTCGACGGAAATATTGTGCGTCCGGATGTTTTCTTTTTCCGTAGAGCGGGATCTGACGTTTCTTGATTTTCAGTGTACAAGGATAGCGAGACGATATCTGTTGTTCCGTGGCTCGTTGGTCGACCCCTAATCTATTCTTCGAATTTGGATGTTCTTCGACACGTCGCATCAAGCCAAAAGTCTTGTTTCATCAAACCGGAAAATGCGAGCAGGATTTTGCTGTGAGCGCATCGCTTGACCGTCTGACCTCCGTATGTTTCAATATCCTGACCCCGATACTCTAGAATGTTTGGAATAAATCTTGCAGCTGCCGAAGGAGAGGTATGGCGCAGACATAGACGGATAATGGGTCCTGCCTTCAACCAGAAGCTATACCAACTTGTGTGGGAACAGACTATCAAGACGTACCGCGACATGATCTCGTCAGAAGGTTGGGAGTCGCAGAGCACAGTTAAAGTTCCGGCTGTCCAGGCTCTCACTTTCAAGGTGAGTTACACAAGCACCATCATGATGACACGTCCTTACCATCATCCTGCATGGTAGTTTGCCCTCCTGGTTCTTGGGATCTGCGCTTTCGGTTTCGACTTCAACTGGTATATTCCCTCATAACGTCTTCGCTAGGATCAGTGCTAACAGCCTTTATCTTCCTAAGGTCCGCCCCACCAGAAACAGCCGAGGGCGAAATGTCTGTTCAAGAAGCAATTCGCACAATCCTGGACGAGAACATGCTCTTAGTTTTCGCTCCTGAGTGGATCAAGAAGCTGCCTTTCAAGAGGTGAGAACAATCTGGCAATTCCTTCAGACTCAGATGCTGACCTGGCTATCCTGGTAGAGTCCAACGTCCGCAGGATGCTCAAAGACAGCTTACGAGC